CTATAGCAAAAACCTCGCCCCCCCCAAATTTCTTTTTTTTTTTTTTTTTAAATTTCTTTTAATGGCGTGTCAGCGAGAAAGAAAGAAAATATCCCTCTACGGAGGCTGGTCATGCTAGTCTCTTTTTACTCCATTTCTCCATCCCATCAGAACTTGGGACACACATGCACGTGCACCAGTGAAGTTTTCAAGCTCCCAGGGGCAGTATTTGAACTGCAGTAGGCCATGTGGGCTCTGGCTCCCTTCACATAGCACTTATCCATTAAGCTATGGGGCGAGCCTTACTACATCTTTTAGGACATTATTTTTTCTCTTAGGAAATAAACACAAAAAATCTTCACTGGTATTTTTTTTTTTAATATTAGAATTTACCCTTAAAACCACAACACTTTTGAGGATGCAAAGGGAATTCTATGAATAATTATGCCTAGAAGTCATTAACTAGAATTGTTCTAGAAAAATGGGGGAGTTGACCACTTACGATACGATCCTGGTGCTTGATAAATATTACTGTATTCTCCAGCTTGACAATCTGACAGAAGAAAAAGAGAAACACAAATATGGACACACTACATAAGCTATACTTTCTTTTGCTTATATTATCAAATCAGAGAGCTCTTTGGGTAGAGGGAGAGAGTAATGCTCGATTTTTCTTCCCTCCATAGTACTTTTTTTTTCTTTCTTTTTTTGGAGAGGTTTTTAGCTATAGGGCATGTGCACTCGCCAGAAAGACAGAGAGAGACAGAGAGACAGAAAGCGAGAAATCACTCCCCAGGGGGGATGGCCATGCCGCAATCCCTTCTCCTCAATTCTCCTCTCGGGATCTTGGGCACGCACGCACAGGCGCCTGGCGTGAGTTTAAGCTGCCAGGTCAGGGACTCGAACCACGGTCGACTACGTGGGAGTCCAGCGACATAGCCATTACGCTAACTGCTGGTCCCCCGTCATAGTACTTTGACTGAGAAGGTAAATGAGCAGAAGAAGCTAGTCAGTTGTCCCAAATCGCAGTCCAGGGCTGAACTCAAAGCTCAAAATAAAAACTCTGCCCCATGAATCCCCAGCAATGTGTTGCTCTTGAACCATGAAGGGCTGCCTTCTACAGTCTGTTCAGTGCTTTACTACAGACCCACCAGAGGTGGGGACTTATTACCATCTTTCGGACAAGAAATCTGGTGATGTTTGTAAAACAGCTTTTCCTAGTTAACATTAATTCTCTTCATTCCACTTCTATAAAAAGCCCGTGTACAAGTCTTAATCATTAGCTGTGTAGTTTTGCTTCTTTTTTGTACAGAGTTCTTTGGGCATTTAAGACGTGATCCAGGTATTCATTAAGTTGAGTACTTGAGATTGTGTGTTGCAGTAGCTAAGCAACAGTTCAGATGCTTTAACTTAGCATGTCCTGCACTGGCAAGTTTAAAAAAAGAACTGTCGAGCCATACTTGGCAGCACCTCCCTGCAACTCTCCCACCCTCTGTCCAGTTCCTGTACTTCTTGGCTGTCCATCCACTGCTAACAGAGACCTGTTCTGTCCCAGCTTCTGACAGCCTTGGCCCAGCCTTTTCTACTGCAGGGCAGCTGGATAACCAGAGTCTCCAGTAACTGTAACTGCACAATGGCCGGATTGGAAGGAGTGGTCTGATCATTCAGTACCTTTTGTAACAATTCTCACATCTGTATCTTAAACCTACTGTCAACTACATCTTTGAACAGTACTTGTCTTCATTTATGCAAACACTACCCCTTAGAAGTTCTAAACAACTGTGGTTACTCACTAAACCATGAGATTTCAAGCATGAACACTGGCTTTTTTCAGTGACTATCCATTGAAACTCGCCAAACGACATAAAGCATGTGAAAATGTCTGTTATAACATTCGCTGTGAGATGGATTCAACTTTCCAGGGGCAGAACTACAGCACTAAGGCAACTGCTATAGCCGTGTGTAAAACTGTTTCTAGAAAAACGGTCCTGTTAGGGCAAAAGCTTTGATATCCAGGATTCTAATCTGTTTCACGGTGTATGAGCAATGTGATCTCTACCTCTTAATTTCATTATCTATAAAATGGGGATAAAGACTATCCTAGGGGTTTGTTGGGAGGCTCAAATGGGTAGCTCATATAAATTGTTTAGTAGTGTCAACTAGACTTAGGGTAGCTCTGTCTGAAGAACTGAACGGGTAGTCATATGAAAACTAAAACACTTTCATTAGCTACCAGGAAATGAAGTTAGTTAACAAGCAGAGCAAGACATGACGCTCAATTCACGTTGGACTCTTCATCTAAAAAGTTTACCAAGTTCTTTTTAATTAGACATTTCTCCATAGCTTTGAAACCTATTCAAGTGTCTTAGCAGGTAACAATAAATCAAGGTATCTCATGGAAGAGAAAAGGCAAAGGTCTAGACCTGTTGAAGAACTGCACAGAAGTGATTGGACGTTTGAACAAAATATAATCTGGTAGACAAACTCTGGCTCCTCCATTTATCCAGAGGACCTTGGGAATTTATTTTATTGAAATTGATTTCTTTCTGGGTCAGCAGGTGTTGTGGTGGTTAAGGCGCTGGATCCCACATGGCTGACTCAAACGTTTCAAGTTTAGTGCCCAGTAAATCATGAAAAAATAAATAAAATGTTCAATTATTTAAAATTTTTTTTGAGGTTTTTGCTTTAGGGCATGTGTACTCACCGTAGACAGACAGTGAGAGGGAGAGTGAGAAATCACCCCTTGGGGAAGGGCCAAGCTGCTATCCCTTCTTCCTAGGTATCTTCAGCATGCATGCACACACGCATGCACATGCCCAAGGGTTGATTTTCAAGCCACTGGGTCTGGGACTCAAACTGGTTGGCCATGTGGGAGTCCAGCGATACCATCTGCTGGCCCCCAATCCTCATATTTTTGAGAGAAATTTTTGCTATAAGGTGTGTGCACTTGCCAGAGACAGAAAGCAAGATATCACCCCACAGGGGGATGGCCACACTGCAGTCCCTCCTCCATTCTCCCCTTGAAATTTTGGGCATGCACGCATTTGTGCCCAGTGTGCTTTACAGTTGTTGGGTCTGAGACTTGAACTGTATTCGACTATATGGGAGTCCTGCAATGTAGCCATTACACCATCTGCTGATCCCCCAGTCCTCATTTTTATGATGCTAACATAAGTATGGCTTAGAATCTTAGATGGCTTGAAATTTTATTCTTGGTGCTATGGTTGGAATGTGTCCCCAGAAGTTCATGCACTGGGACTTGTACTGAATCATAAAGATATTAAGTGAAAACTTAGTAAGAATGAGGCCTTGAAGGCACTGATTGGTTCATGGCAACTGCATCATGGAGGCAAGTCTCATGAACAGATTGTCTCCTGAGACCCAATGAATTCTAGCTCTCATGAGAAGGGATTATTGTGAGAGCTTGTTCTAAGAGAGCAGTTAGGCACGTCCCCGTCTCTCTGCATGTGTCCAGCACCTTCCACCAGCCTTACTGATGGTCAAGGACTCAAGATTTTCCAGTCGTCAGAATCGAGTTTGTAAATAAACTTTGATCTTTATAAACACAGGCTCAGGAATTTGTCAGCAATGTAACAATAGATTAAGACACCTGGGAACCTGTGATTATGACTTAGACAAACCTCGATGAGGAGACAAAGTCATCTACAAGTTTTTAAAATGAAAAAGCAATGAATTTGTTTCCCCCAACCAACTTTTCAGTAAATAAAATAGTTAAGAATGAAATCGCTCTAGAGAAAACAAGGGTGACTAAAATCTGTCCGTTTGACCCTGTCCTTAATTCTAGAACCCCAAAGCACTGCAAAACATTTGTGAAAATTGTTTTAATGTGCTCACACAAGACAAGTTTAAATGTAACAGAAATGCATGCTGTGGGATGTACCAAGTCCACTTTAGGCATTAAAATTCTATTCCATGCCTTATTTGAAATAAGTGAGCTGGATCCCCACATAGCAGTTTGAATTCCAGCTCCTGCAGCTTAGAAAACATGCTGGATGAATGTGTATGCGTGACTTGAATCCCTACTGGGTGGAGAAATGGAACAGAAATTGTGGTATGACCACACCCCACTGGGGGTTGCTTTCTCCCTCTCTTCCTGTGTCTCATTCTTGCAAGCACACAAGCCTCTGGCAATTAAAACAAACAAAAAGATTCTACTTTCTATTAGAGACCTTTTGTAAAACGGTTGGTACTAACAGTGTTAATGTGGTGGCAAAACCAACCAACCAACCAACCCAAAAACCTGCTGGGTCAGGTAATCCAGAATATTTGATTCCTGGAGCAATGTCATTTCTTGACAGGGGAAAAAAATGCAGAACATGCACCCTGCTCCAGAATGGTTTATGCCTCACTGCCTGTTCCATAGCTTTAGGTGGGTACTTTCAAAATACATGGAGTATATCCAAACAATTTCAAAGTGTAGTTACATTTTGTCCAATTATATGACAAAAAGAAATCCCTTCCAAAAGTAGACTGTACTATAAATTGTTCATTCAAAGTCCCACTCACACTGGAGTTCTAAGAAAGGCTAGCAAATCCCCTTTGGGAAGGAAATGGTAAACTTCACCAAGTATAAGTAATAATGTGATCTTCACCAAATGCATAGTTGTTATAGCAAAAGTGGAATTCTCTTTCAAAACAGAAAGTGGGTCATGGCAAAAGCAGAACTATCTTCCACAACAGAATGCAGAGGGGTGGCATCAGGGAGATAGGGAAGGTTCCCTGACTTGAGATAACCCCGTTACAAAGAGTAGGCTAGCCAGGTAGGGAGAAGAGGAAACTCACATTGAATGAACTCCCTGTTGCTGATGAAAGAGGGTTTGTGAAGAGAGGGTTATTTTCAGGCAGCATATTTAAATTCTGTGGTGAATGAAGGTCATACCCAGAGGTATTTAGACCCATTGTTCTTTCTTTATACAATAAATGTGCAATTAATTGGGCTCTGGACTTTCTTAAGGAAGCCCAGAATTGGGGCTAAAGAATAAAATACATGAAAAACGATGAAACCATGAAAATACATTTTTAAAAAAAGTTTTCAGGTATAATACACAAAGCAAACAAGTTTATCTTAAAAAATATCAAGTATCACACATCCATAGCCTATTCCTAATTATAATTACTTCTTAAAGCAACATTTGTCTTTGTTTACAAATACAGCAGCAGGTGATAAAACCCAACATCTTAAACAGATTGCTTACAGTCATAATACAAATGTTTATGTCTCAAATCACATTTTAGGCAGTTTAACTTAAAATGCATAGACAATTACATACATTAAATTTGTCATTATTAAGTCAATGAAAAAAATCACAATTTCAAGAAAAATTACAAAAAACCTTTATAGAGCACACAAAAAAAGTCAAGTTTACTTAATGGCAACAAATCAGTATCTGCTAAACAGTGACAGGCAGTCAAAGTGCCTTCATCCAGGGGAAAGTGAGGAGGAAAGACATCCTGTTACATCGCACATTTGAACTGTTGCACTGATCAACACTACATTCTTTACAAACATTAATTTCTTAGTTTAAAAAAAAAAATCACACTTTGCCCCTTTAAAAATGCCCAAAGGCTGGTCTGTAATTTCTACCAGCAGCAATCCTAAAATAAGTTTATCTAGGTAAACTAGTAAAGGGCACGCTAACGAGTTCTGTAATGCCACCCCTAACTATGAGTCTCTCAAGGACAGGGATTCTTTCATCTCTGCATCCCTGGCATCAGGCAAAGCACCAGGATCACAGATATTTAAGTGTCTTTCAGATAAATGTAGTCCTCAGATATTTTCTATAGCTAGAAGCTTGCATAACATTTAATACTGATTACTTTATTGGCAATTTTTTTTAACTTGGCAGAATTCTGAAAATAAAAATGTCTGTCTTCAATACTAAATATTGCTTTAAGATTAAATTATAGTCTTCCCTGAAAGCCGCCCACCACTTTCTATGCATAGTACAGTGCATCAGTGTGATTCATCTACATCTAGGCTTAGGCTTTTCCAAAACTTTACCACTCCAAGATCTGTGCTTACATTTAATTTCCAGGGTTTAGAAACCAGGCATTTGATAACATTAGCTCTATCGACATCATTCAGGGCTAGGAAGACATTGGCACTAACTGTTCAACATTTTAGGCAATTGATGCAAACTACGCAGTCTTTTAAGGAAACTTTGAGTAGAGCTACTTTCATTACAGATTCAAAAGCTGGATGTTTAGAATAGGCAGCACTAATTATTTGTGAGGTAATATATCATGGGCCAACTCACTTCTAGAAAACGTTCCAATATTTCATTGTAGTGGTGTGACCGAAGCCAAAAATCCACCCTTTTTCTTCCCTGCCCTAATATTTTCTAATGAAGATAGCCAACAGTAAAAATGGATGGAGAAGGTCCTTGGATAATTAAAATCGTCTATTTCTGAATAATATATTACTTTACACAAGATAAAGCTGTGGAGTCAGAGCTGTAAATAGTGTCTTTAAAAGCATGAAAAGGTGGCAGTCACATCCAGGACAGATGAGCCAAGGTATTTAAAAAGCACTCCTTTAAGGAACATTTGATTCTTGAGAACTATGTGAATGAAGACCTGAGGTCTGTTAATTTTTCACGGTTATTTCTGAATTCAACATTTCAAAGCCCAATTCCAACTCCACAGAAACACTATTCCTGAATACATCTCAACCGTCTCTATCAAATTTATTAAAAAATTCTTGCTCCACAGTCCAAATGCCAGCACATTCCATGACCTATATGCCCTTAAGACCAAATATACTTGCTAACAAGCATTCTCTTCCATGAACTAATCTCAGCCTAGTATAACCTGTTTTGAAAGCAACATTATTCTCTTGGAAAGAGAGAGGAAAACAAAACAAAACAAAACAAATAAAAACCCAACTTCCTAGATGCTTTCCCCCATTTCTTTACTAAAACTTAAATGCTTTGCTTAACTCCACACTGAACCTAAAGATACTTTTTGGCCCAGAATGCACATAGGAATTGAGACATTTTCCTAGGCCAATCGGAAAAATGGCACTTTACAAAAATAAATGGAGTATCAAATCAAATTCTATTATCCCTTTGATTTCTATTCTTACATTAAAAAAAAAAAACACAAAAAACAAAAAACAAAATACCAGTTATAAAGTCCTTGAAAGCAAAAGATTAAAATAGCAGTATCACCTGGGGACTGGGTAGTATGGGTCACAAGGAAAGTTACTGTACTTACTGGTCACAGTATTCCCAAATCTGTGTTCACAGCCCTTCAGATTCTTTAGCAAAAGACTTTTTCCCATAATATATTGACTCCACAATTACAGAGTCCCAAACCTACCTCTTCTTTTTCTAGTTGGTGATATAGTAAACATTACATCTAAAGTCAGAGTTGTCAACTTGTCCCAATGTAGGACAGCCAAAATAAGTGTAAGAGATATCTTTGCTGCTATTTTACTTTTCTTATCATTTTATCCTCCCAGTTAATTGACATTTTAATATTGACTGATAATTTAAGCTACGGTACCTTAAGGCTACCTGCCTTGTAGAATAGAGGCTACCTTGATAGCAGAGTATTACAGGTAGCTGTCAACTGGCCTTGCAAAGAAGTGAACCAAAGAAAAAGACCCTATTTGCCACTGTGTAAGAGCTAACACCACGCCTCAGTCCAAAAATATCGAAACAAACTAGTTTTGATCTTTGCAAATTCTGAAAGTGTGACTCTCATCTACTTAAAATAGGAGAGGCTTAGACAAGTTCCTCTCAAAGGTGGTCGGTCATCTTGTATTCCTAAGAGGAGGTAGCTATTAAACCATTAAACTGGCAGCATTTGGCATTCTTGACATTTATATTATAGGAGAAATAAGCTACTAAATATTTTATTTTCAAGCAAAAACGGTTCTAGCATAAATCTCTCCAATACTGGTCTGAGTAATTTTCAATACATTTTAGAAACCCCACAGATACCATGAAAAACTTCAGAATGTTATTTGTTAAGATCCAGGTCTATCTCACATCTAAGAATATGATTTAAATGTAAGGTACTAAAAAGATGCTGGGGCTCTTGTGGTGGTTATAAACAATACTTAATATTTAAGCAACACAGTCACAATGCTTTAAATCCAACTGCAGAGATCTACAATTTATTTTTACTTTTTTAGCTAGAAAATAGTTTTTTCAAACATGGCACACAATTCCTGTACACAAATACAGAACTGAACTGTTAGCCATAAGCACTTTATGAAAGATCCAGGAAACTATGCAGGAGACAATGACATAGTTTAGTCCGATTCTGAAACACAGACACATCCTCTGATTCACACTAGTACAAAGAACAGTCATGTCTGTATGACTTAACCAAAACTTCCCTAACCACAACTGTGGTGTTTTAAAGGTAGAACCCTAGAGTGTGCCAGTTTTCCTTATCAGGGAGGAATTAAGGGATGTGATTCTTCTAAAGGATTGAGAGAGAAGGGACCTATGGGGAATGATCTGGGCAGGAGAGCTGCCTCAAGTTTTGTGGGAATCAAAATTACTTGATACAATGAAGGAATTCCTAGGGTTTATTTAGTTTTGAGGTTCAAAACAAAGCAGAGAAGTATTTCCTTCCTTGAGCTCTTCCCAAAACAATATGCGCATTGAATAATCCATTCTAAAGCAAAATGAGACCACCAATTTTCTAAGGGTAGCATTTATACGGAGTAATGTTTTTTCCATAAACGTCAAATTTTAGTGCTGTATGACCCATATGGCTAAAAACAGAACAAATCAGGAAACAATTTCACTAAAAGTTCAAGGAAAAAACACTGGCTGGCTAATGAACTCTACATGTGATGATAATTACTGACAGCTTTCAAACGTATATTCAAACAGAACCTCAAGAGGACCAGGATTTATTTATTCTACAGATAAAGCAGCTCACAATGTTAAGAGGCATTATTTGTTTAGACTATAATGTGATTGTATTCAAAGTTTACTTATTTAAGGGGAAAATTATAAAAAAATACTTGAAGTAATTTGCCAATGAAGTTGTAGATTCTAACAATCCACATCACCTTAGATTTCTAAGTGTGTAGTTTTATAATTCAAACAATTGTATCAGAGTTATTTAACACACTTAACTACTGTAACTTCACATGAAAACCAAATAAAAATCACATCTGCATTATTTACTTCTACATTTTTATCTGATTGTATCCAACTGATGTACTACACATCCAATTACAAGAGGCAGATATCTTCTGAGAGGTGCAAGAGTTGTTCTTTCGTGAACGCCCTCTAAGAATAGTGAAACCAGCATTTTTATATGCATTCATGTGCATACATATGTACTTCAAAAAGCAAAGCGTCATCTCTTCGTCCATTGTTAACTTAATGGTAAGACTGCAATAGAAAAAAGAAAAAGTCAACTTCAAGATTTTATAAATGGAGTTTATTAACTCCTTGCTGTGGCTTAAAATAAATTTACTCCTTAATAAATAAAAAAAGGCAAGTCATCTCAATTACTTTGGTATACACTTTTCAAAAATGCTTTTAGAGAACATAACTAGTAAGAAGTAATATTAATGAGAAGTAATAGTTTGGAGGCACTTAAAAATTTTTTAAACAGCTGAGGTGGCTGTTTGATTAATCTCACTAGAATTCTGGTTACGTATTGAGAGTTAAGAGATATTTTTTCCCCAGAGAATCTTGATTTTGTTTGGATATTTACTTGGCTTATTATATCATGAAGGAAGAGAGGTGCTTTTCTATTCAATCACATGCCCAAGGCAATCTAAGATGTCAAAATTACTCCAACTTGGCAGATAGTAAAGTATAAAGCATTACAAGTAACTGACAATGAAGAATATAGTATTATCTTGAGTTCAATGCTGCTAGTAATCTAACCAAACTTTAACCGAAAAATACCATGTAGAATTACCTGAAAGATGGACAATACAACGTACATACTGATTTTGGCTTGATTCTCTAAGAATCTACCTATATCAAGATAGACAGGCAGAGACTGTCTTTTTTTTTTTTTGGAGAGGTTTTTGCTATAGGGAGCGTGCATTCAACAGAAAGACACAGAGAGACAGAAAGCAAGAAATTACCCCCCAGGGGGGATGGCCACGCCACAATCCCTTCTCCTCCATTCCCTCTCGGGATCTTGGGCATGCACACACATGCAACTGGCATGAGTTTAAGCCACTGGGTCTGGGACTCGAACCACGGTTGACTACATGGGAGTCCAGCGACGTAGCCATTACACCAACTGCTAGTCTCCAGACTGCTTTTACTGAACTGTGCTTTACTGTGATGCTGCAACACCATATTGAGAATTAAAAACCAAACCAAACCAAACCAAACCAAAAATCCAAACAGCACCATGAAATGCATTTCAGAGTTTATTTCAAGGATGCTGTTGAGGACATGGTATAGTACAAGTCTTTGGGGATCTTAGGGAAATTTTTCTATTTTTAGTACCAGGAATATGTAACTTGTGCTTTCATCCTTTCCAAAGTTTACCCGAAGTTTTGGAATTTACTCATGTTAAATAAACATAACGCCCCTCCCCTTTTTGGGCTATCGGGTATGTGTGATCACCAGAGAGAGGAAGGGAAAAGTGAGAAATCACCTTTCAAGAGGGATGGCCACTCCACAATCCCTTCTCCATTCTCTCAGGATTTTGGTCAGACATGCACATTTACCTGGTGTGATTTTTCAAGCCTATGTGTTCTGGAATCGCCAATGTGGGATCTAGCCACATTAACCTTCATGCCACCTGCTGGCCTCTATGTATCCTTTCAAAAAAAGTTCTGAAAACTTCTTACTTATTCATTCAAAACTTTGGAGAAACTATCTTTCAGATGTGCTTATGTGACTATTAGTACATATCAAATAACAAACTAAACACTCACATGGGGGCCACCAGGCATTGGTGGAGCACCAGAAGGTCCTGAAGGCACTTGAAAAGGATTATTGGGAGTAGGATAGAGTCCTGGTGTAGGATATGATCCTGCAGGGGCAGGATATGGTGCAGGTGGTCCCCAGGCTCCCGGTGGAACAGTGCCCCATGGAACAGGTGGTGCTGCCCCTGGTGCTTGGGGAGGAGGAGGAGCAGGATATGGCCCTGGAGATGGATATGGCATATTAGGGGTAGGATACTGCCCTCCCATTCCTGGTGCCCAAGGTCCAGAAGACATGGACCCCCATGGACCTAAAGGACCAGCTGCTGCTGGATCTGTCGGTGCACCATAAGGTCGAGGGAGCTCTGGAAAGGGCATATTTGGTGTAGGATATGGCCCTGCAGGGCCAGGGCCTGGCACGGCTGGGGCTGGATAAGGACCACCAGGTGGGGGACATGATGGTCCAGAAGGAGGAAAGGGTGCTGGGGGTCCTGGAGGTGGTCCGGTGGGAGGCACAGAGGGATACATTCCTGTTGGTGCTGGTCCAAAAGGCACAGTGGAGGGTGTTGCACTTGGTGGGAGTCCAGATGGCACAGAAGGTGGAGCACTTGGGTTATTCCAAGGGTTGGAACCAGGCCAGCCTTGAGGAGGTTGGCCAGGTTTCGTATTGCTCACAACAGAGGTTTTGGCAGGAGAGTGTTCAGGTAATGCATCTGCCAACTGAAATACAAAACAGATACATTTTATCTATCTCATCCAGGCACAAATCATACTAAACACAACTATAAACCCATACAGAATAAACTATAGGGTCAGAAATTATAAACTTCAATAACATTTTCAAAGCTAAGCTATTCATTTAAAAGTAATCACTCATTTAATATAAAACTTCAGGTGTTACCTCAAATATCAACTTTATAAAGCAGATAGCAGAGAGAAGTTCAAATTTTCTAAATACAACTTATACTGCGCTTCATTTCTATGTTATATTAATTTAATGAAGTATAGCAATTAAAAAGATTTGAGTCCTGGGTTTCCTGCAAAAATACCATATACCCTAAGCTTTAGTTTTATCATTTTCAAAAAGTCATAGTTAACTTGTAGTTCAAATCAGTTTATAAAATGATAATACAGTGCTTGGTATATAATATCCATCAATAAAAGCTGACTACTATTAATACTATAAAAGAACATAAATAATAAAACTTTTTCATTTAAGGATTCATAAACAAGTATGAGGGGATTTCAAAAAGTCTGTGGAAAAACAAAATTGAAACTGAGTTTACTGGAGCCAGCAGGTGGTGTGATGGTTAAGGTGTTGGATTCCCAGATGACTAACTGTAGTTCAAGTCCTGGACAGGGTGGCTTGAAAATCACAACAAATAAATAAT